ATTTTTGGGGACACCTCGTGGACCCAGGTTTGCATCCGCAGAGCGACGATCCTCCACATTGGCATCGACAGCTGTACCCAGCCAGGTTCTTGGATGTTATTTCGACAGCAGTTCTCGGACTTTGTGCAGCCCGGCCCTGACATGCCAAGGCCCGACTGTGGCTGAAACAACAACTGAGCTGGCNNCATGGGAGGCATGAGAGAGCGACCTGTGCTTCATTTGCCGTTGTTCGCTTTGCAGCTGATGAGAAGACTTTTCACGACCCGCTTGAGTGCATTTGCTTTGTGGTTTCTTTACGACACGTTTGAATATTTTGAGCAATGCTTCCAAAAGTTTTTGTATGAGTGGTATCATCGTTATGTTGGCTATTGGAATGATAGGTATTTTCTCACGTGTCGGTCGGTTTCTGGAAGTGCCATCTCCTTGGCTAGGAGATTAGGTGCTGACATGCATTGGTGGGAAGACGATTATGATGTGGACGACCTCTAACCTGCCGGCTGAGGCGATGGTGTTTTGGAAAATCAAGGGTTAAATGCATGCACTGCCTGCATCCGTGAACATGCCATTGCCCTCGTGTGCCACCGTCCTCGCATCTTCGCATGAAGTTTGTGCTGCTGCAATCTCTAGAGCTCATGCTCACGAATTCTGATCAGCTAGCATTCCTGTAGCCTCCTCAGGCTTGATGGCGCCCCAGAGCAAGAGCGGTAAAGGTCCGCAGAACAAGATGGCCAAGGCCATGGCTGCCAAGAGCAAGGCTCAGCAGCAGGCTAAGGTTAAGACCGAAAAAGCGACACCCAAAAGGAAAGCCAAGGCTGCCAAGACGGAGGTCGAACAGGAAGAGGGTGAGCCAACGGTGCCCAGCAGTTTGGGGTTTGCTCGGGGCAGCATCTCTGCTGCTTTGACTGGGCTCCGCTATCAGCTGAAGGCTAAGAAAACTTCGGACGACGACAAGGAAGCCGCCCGGAAAGTACTCGAGGACCGGCTGCAGCATGCATTATTCCGTGGGAGTTGTTTTGACCTGCTTGTTTTCCTTCTTTTGCTGCTCCTTGGCAGGAGTACGAGTCCGGGGACATCACGACAAAGAGAATGATTCTGGCGAAAGTGCAGCAGTACGGGGTGAAGCACTGCAACTGGGTTCACACGATGGACAAAAAGACCACGACTACCAATGAGGAAAGCGAAGAAACTATCAAAAACTGGTACACTCGGATCTTGGGTGGCAGTTTTGGAAGATTTTT